GGGTGCAGGAGGCAGCTGATCAATGATTCTCATCATTGATGTTTCTCTCTCTCTCTCTCTCTCTCTCTCTCTCACCCTCTCCCTTCCTCTCTTTGAAATCAATAAACATATATTAAAACAAAAACAAAAAATTTATAAAACCCAACCGGTATCAAGAATAACAAAGCAATTTAAGGATAAATTTTTTAATATAGTGAATCTAATATGCCAAATAATTTGTAACATTTTTACCACTATGGCCTGATTGTTATTATCTTGATGACCCTGCCTATTTGTGACTGCCTTATGAAAATGCAATAGCTTCATTATTTAAGGCTAAACTTTGGGAGTTCTTATCATTTGCAACATTAACATATCACAGGTACTTTTTTTGGAAATTGGAAATTTCCATTAAAAACTACTCCTAGTGTTTAGTGTTGAAAACTTAAATTAGGATTCACAAAATATGGTCTTGTATATTTTGAATACAAGAATAGCTACTTGTATATTTTGAAACTTGACATCTGATGCAGTGTGAATTGAATATAGAAATGTAGAGAGTTTTACCCAGAATTCAGGAAAATTCATGTGATTCCAGGACTATACAGACTGCCAGGATTGTCATACATGTATTGGGAAAAGAAAACCAATTATCACAGCACCATTTCTTTGAAAATTGATTTGTTTCGGCACCTTTGTGGAAATTGGCTGACCCTGAAGGTAATAGTTTATTTCTGGACTCTACGTTCTGCTCCTTTGCTCTATATGTACATACTTATGCCAGTACTTATACTTAAATGGCAAATTAAGCATTAGTTGGCAGATGAAATAGTTTTATGAGAATGTGGTTTTTCTTTATGTATAAGAAGCAGCCACCTTCATTCAACCATGTATCTCAAGCCATCCTTCACACAAAATTTAAAATAATTATCATACTTTTACTATAGTCAAAAAAACAAGATTGGCTTGAGCTTAGTCTCTTCTTCATCTCTCTCTAGCATGAACGGGGCTCTCTAGGGTACATTCATATTTATTCATTGTGGCCTGAGAATGTTTTCAAATGGTTAGAACTTGGAGGACTTCTGATCGAAATGATTTACCATAGGATATAATTTTTCTGTTAGAGCTCTACACTACATACCATCATTTTCTTATTTCTGATATTCTGCCTTCCATATGCTGACCTTCAAAACTATTTATTTAAAACCATTCTCGGAAATCTCAGTCTGAGAGTGAATTGTCAAAAATAATTAAGAAAAATGGTGATATATGCCTCTGACATAGAAATACATCTTTTCTAAAATGTTGCTGCTTTTAACAGAATTTAATATGAAGTCATCTCAAGAATTATGATGCTATTAACCAAATGATTCCAGCAAAAGTAAAAAGTAGAAGTATCCAGAGCTTTACACTAGATAAAGCACAAAATGTTCTCCTCATGCAAGCTGTTATTTTGAATTCCTCATATTTCACAGGGAAGCAATACCATACCCACCTCACTACAGCACAATTTACAGTCAGGAGACTTCTAGGAGTATTTCAAGGCCTTCCCCTGTCATGTCACCTACATTTATTTCTCACCAACAAAGAAAAGGGAACAAAACAAAAATATCCAAAGCAAACCTTACTTCTCCTTAGCTCCTTTGTCAAAAGTCAATATGAATATCTAGCAGAGCTGGTTTTTAGGAAATGGGCACCACTTACCGTCTCCCTGTTATAATGGGCAAGACATCATTGGATTTGGCTTCAATTATTTTAAATGCGACTTTCTTCAAATCTGAAATGCCAACAGCCATGTCCTCCAGCATTCCTATTTCATCACCTGAACAGGGAAAGGAGCCTGGTTACAAGTATACTGTTTGAAAAAAATGTCACTGGGTGGTCCACCTCACTGCTGGAATTTGTTCTAGCATTTTAGTAAATGAGTTTCTGAATGCAGTGAATCCATTCTCAGCGATTTTCCTTGGAGATTGAAGGTTTTTATCAGTGAAATAAGAGCCATGCCAACAGACTCCAGCAGTTCGCGGGCTCTTTGAGGGGAAGGAAGAATGTACTCATTTGCTGGGAGGCAGGAGAAATATTTTGACTGTTGTATGAAAAAAAGTGTCGTGCAGATATCTTTCCATTGGCAGGACTGATATTTGATTTCTAGAAATAACAGAGATGAACTGAAGATCCTACCAAGGCTCGTGATAGTTTTATATCTTAATACACTAACAAATAAAGCCTAAGAAGGAGATAACCAAGTAAGGTTCAACACCAAGTAAAAATAGAATGTGAGCCACATACATAATTTTCAATTTTCTGGTAGTTCATATATTTTTTTATTAATTTTTATTGATTGACTTTAGAGAAAGAAGAGGGAGAGAAAGAGAGATGAGAGGAACACTGATTTGTTGTTCCATTTATTTATGCATTCATTGGTTGATTCTTGTATGTGCCCTGGCTGGGGATCGAACTGGCAACCTTGAGGTATCAGAATGATGCTCTAACCAACTAGTCAAGTTTTTAAAAGACTAAAATATAAAGGTGAAGTTAATTTTAATAATGTATTTTACTTTAACTCAATATATCTAAAATAGCATTCCATTTATATATCAATATAAAATAATTAAGTATTAATATAAAACTAGTCTTATAATGTGGTATACACATCTCATACATACTGACTTGGACTAGATACATTTCAAGTGCTCAATAGGCACACCAGGCTATGTATTGAACACTGTAGTTCTAGACATTAGAGTGTTGGGCTTTAAAAATCCAGTTATTGAAACTATGTTGGCAAAGAGCCTTTTATATTAAAAAAGCCAGATGGCTGCTTAGGTCTCCACTATGAAATAATCTATAATTCTCTTTTCATAACATAATAGGGGGGTACAGTTACAAGGTGAATGCAAAAAACAAAAAGTTACATCATTTCTGCCATGCTTAATGCAATAAAGTATTGTTTCTCATTTTTATGTTTAACTGAAGGACCCAAGGGCCAAATATCCTATGACTAGGAGTATGACTTTCACATGTACCAAAGCCATCCATACTCACTGTATGTGCTTAGCAGTCCTTCATATTGTACTATCAATCCCACCGTGTGAAGCTGCTGGAGGAAGCTGGGGTCATGCAAACTTGTGTGTAATTTGATGATAAAACCACAAACCAATCCAGCAAGCTAAAAAACAAAAAAAAAACAACAACAAAACACATTGAAGAAATTGATGGGGGACTGAAAACTTTAATTTGAAAACATTGAAGACTTCTGAGGCATTAGAGATTTAATTAAAATTTTTCAAGTACATGTAGCAAAACTCTTTATATATCTATGTTGAAACAGTTGGCAGTCTTTGATCAAGGGGAAGGCAGCATTGTCATATCTGAGCTCTGAGTCATATCTTCAAATCCTGTCTCTACTCTTTGCAGCAGTAAAACAATAAAATATTATTTATCACGTACAAATGTTATTATTTTTAAAAACATTTTTTGTGCTAATAGAATAAAGACAAGAGTGCTCATTTCAGAGTCACTGAAAAGATTCAATGAAGAAATATGTATCAGTCAGAGCATAATGCCCAATGTATAGCTCGTATGTCACTGGAGCATCCATGAAATAGTGGGGGACAGGGACAGTTTGGTCAAAATATTCCATTTGTCTGGAATGTTTAGAAAGAGAGGCCTGCTGTCTCTCTCTCTCCCTGTGGCTGTCTATAAACTCAATCATGGGAAGGAGGCAGAAGGGAAGAAGGAAGCTCCCCCGCCCCGCACCCCCTGCACAGCCACTGTGATGGAGGCGGGCCTCGGTGTCACGGATACGGTTGGGTATAGATAGGTAAAGAAGTTGGTCCTGTCAAACCTCCCATCCAAGCCTTCCTGCAGGCAAATTTATTTTTATAAACAAAAGAGGGGACCATTATGAGACCTGTCCTGGTATTTATGAGGGAGCTGTATAAATAGCAGGTTACAAACAGGCCCCTTTGCCAGTCCTAGCTGGCCACCTGCTAGGAAGTTGTCCCTTTCCTTCCACTGTGTCCTGTGTGGAAGATCCCAAGGCATGATACGATGACAGCATGGACGACCCATCCTTCACAGACTTTCTGCTCCACGAAAGTTGTACGTCTACGTTTCAGAGACTTAACCACCTCTTTGCAGAAATAAACACTAAGGTCTTATAAACTGTTTCCATGTACTTTTTGGTTCATATTTATTATGAATAAGAAAAACTGGGCACCAAAACTGTCAGGAAATGATCCCTTTAAAAATAAAACTGCCCATGGACGACCTCTGTCCTCACCAAGGATAGCAGTGAACAACCCAGCACTGTGCTGTGCTCACAAACACAAGGGGCACCTACTGCTTGGCTGAAGACGATGTCCCTCCTCAGAGTCAGCATCAGACACTGGGGCAGGCTGTATGCCAGCTCTTGAAGGAGCACGAAGGTCAGGGACTGCTTGGCTCGGTTCACCACTTCCCCCATGCTGTCCTTCAGGGTCAGGATGAGGGGGTACAGCTGTTCATACCAGTCCTCTGGGAGGGGAGAAAGGGGTGTAAAAACAGTGGGATAGGTGACGGAAGGCCTTGCAGGATAGAACCAATTTATTGTTTTATCAATCAAGTTATACATATTATTAAGGATTCACAAACATTAGATTTGAAGATTTCCAACTGAAATCCCGCCTCTGAACTTCAGATGTCTGTAACCAGTCGCCCACTGGAACTCTCCACTTGGGTGTACTGAACATATTTACATTAGAACCCCTCTCCTCTTTGCTCATCTCTAACCTGTGCCCTGCCTTTATCTTAGTGGATGTTGCCACCAAACTCTTCCCATGCTAGAAACACAAGTTTTCCTGGACTTCTACAGCCTTCATCTTTACTGGATCATTAAATTAGTTCTACTTACTGTAATAACCTCCTTCCCCTCTGCAGTCAGCACTTATCACTCTTCTTGGATCACTTTCTATTCCACCCCCTAACTAATGTTTCTCCTTCCAGCCATACCCCACTCAAATCCTTCCTCAACAGTGTTGCTAGAGGCAGCTTTCTAATCCTTTTGAATCCCATCCCATCACTCACTCTCTGGTTTCCTTCTTAACATATCTTTAAAATATGAAAGCATTCAGAATAAAGTCTGAATGCAGAAGAGATCCTCCATTATCGGACCCCTGCCTACTTGTCTAGTCTCATCTCTCAGAACTTCGTCACTTGCAGTCTTAAATCTCAGTGAACCAAACAACGTGTTTCCCAAAACCTGCCCTTCTCTTTCATCTCAGGGTCTCTGCAAACCTTGTCTCCAATCCTCGCCTTTCCTTTGCTTATCTCCCTAACAAACACTTTATCTTATCTGCAGATTCAACTCGAGATTTCTCTCCCAGGATTTCCCCCAAACTAGCAAAAGTAACTTAACCCATTTACTTAAATTTGGGTTGAGTTCACTTCCTTTCTTGCCCATAGCAACTTCCTGTCCCTGCTCTAGAACTATCTATGCACTGTTGCTCAGCAAGAAAGGGAGCTCACCGAGGACAAGGGATTTATGTTTTAATCACCACACCTCTACAACCTAGTATAATGTCTAACATATAACAGGTAGTCAATCAGTGTTAATCGAATGTTACAAAAAATATAACACAAGTCTTTTAAGATATGGACGAACATAAGAAAAATCAAGTTTTTGACAGTATTTGGAATTTGAGTAGGTTTTTCGCCAAACCAAGATACAAAGTTGGAATCCTCGGTACTTTTGGCATGTCTAGATAGTTACAAAGTTTTGGCTTTGGCATATGATATAGATATGATCTTCAGTGTGTTAGAAAACCAAAGCTCTGACAAGTATCAAAAGTTACAAATTCCAGACTGTGTGACATTCCATTAAAATATAAATAAATTAACAGTATGACAGATACAATTTAAAGAAATGAGTGCATGCTGAAAAATTAATTATGAATCAGTATCTGAAGTGATATGAATTTCTCCACACAGAAGTGTACGTTTCATCATGAGTAATGTCAGTGGTCAATAACCAGTTTAGACCTTGGAAGAGAGCTATAGGCAATGATAAAAAGAATCATAATCACTATGGTACCATGTCTGCTGTCACTTATTTACTTTATGTTGTGGTGTAATAAACTAAATGAAGTAAAGCAAAATGATTGGAAGGGTAATTAACGACCTCAACTTAATAAAAATATATGCTCTTTTTAATACACTATTAAATGTTTATGTGATGCTATGATGAACAACACATTTGGAACACTGGAAGTTATTTAAAATATTGTACAATTAAGTGTTATGCTATGAATAAAAACAATAGAGAAAGGGGAACTCAACGAGGTCTAATAAATCTGTAATCATGTAATAAAGAACTCAGTTTTGGGCAGCCTGCAATGAAATACAAACAACGGTCCAATTTAAACAAGCATTGGTTATCTATTGATTCTTATGTAAATACTACATATAAAAAGACAAACAAATCGACTGGCTGACATATTTTAGAAGAAAGGGGGGGAAGGAAGAGATTAGCCAATGAACTTATATGAATACATGCATAGCCCATGGACAGAAAATAGTTTGGGGGAAGGGGGTGGGAGCAGAGTGGAAGGGGTTATTG